TATGATCATCTAGAAACTTTTAGGAACCGTACTCACCGTAATTCACGCAGGATTTGAAAAGAATAGAAAACCACCGAGTCGTGACATTTATGTCGTTCACAATGTCTAGTTGTAATGTTTATTGGCCAATAAAATTTGAACAGATAAAGCAGACTCCATTTCGAAAAAAACCATTAAAAATCCAAAAAGAGTAACGTGCATATATGAATATATATATATAAAATTCAGAAATAATCTCCTCATTGTCAATGATTTGACTATTTGAAAACTATCGATAACTATTTCATTTATTAAGATTTATTATATAGAACTACATAAAAATTTATGATAAAAAATATGCAAATTATATATTTATACTTATTAATGTTAGATTAATAATCTTGAAATAGAACTTTGATAATTTATTATTACGAAATATATATTATTTGCATATTTTTTTATCGTTAATTTTTATATATTTTATGTATTTTACCCATAAATGAAATAATTATTAATAATTTTCAAATAGTAAATCATTGATAATGAGGAGATTATTCTGAACTTTATTTACATATTTTTTTAAGTATAAATATACTTAAAAAAATATATTATATTTCATAAAAAAAAAAAAATGAGAAAGAAAAGGAAAAGGAGAAAACTTTTTTAATCCTTTTAACAGCTTTTAATTTCGAAATTATCCATACGACAGCAAACTACACGTCAAAGACACGCGACTTCATCAATCCCCCTTCAATCTGCCATCACTTAATCGAACTTCCCCGTATTCTGTGCTTTCACTCGTCCACGATTCCCATAACTCCATTTTCCATATTCCCAACGGGTCGATTTTCTCGCGATCATTAAGTTCCCCTCCGACCTTAAATTACCACCCATTAAGTCAACGTTGGCTATCCACCGATTTCGAAACCTCAGCAAGGAACGCCTCTGAGAAACTCGCGGCTTTCTGTCGAATCCTCGGTCGCAATCCAATCGACAAATTGGATATTCCATCTGATGACGAGTGATGGAATGTTTTCGAACCCGATTATACGATTAATTTCGATGATTGATTGTTTTATATTTCAAATTAACGAGACGATCGAAACAATTTTCTTTTCGAGAATACAATTTTATTCGAATATTCTTTCTCCATGTCGTGCGATGAACAGATTGAACAGAAAAAATGAAATAGAAACGCGTTGGATATTTCGGTTTTCGTGTATTTTAATGCATAAGAATCTAAAGTTTAATAATTATAGTTTTATTCATTTTATTTAGTACACGAATGTTTATCCTTTGATAAATAAATAATAATAATAACGAGGAATTGAAAAGATGAAATGTTTTCTGGGAAGAGGTTAATAATTCTAAACGAAATTTTAATATATACAAGGTATCAATTAGTAAGTATAAGAATAAAATTTCATTAAAATGTTGTAACGGATAATCTACTATCATCCACCACAAATTAAAATCGGAAAAATCGAATGGAATAAAAGAAATAAATTCCCAGAAAAGCAAATTCCGAAACCATAATCGAATTTTCGTTTATCCGGTATGTATACAACCGCTTTCATCATTCAAAAATCGTTGATTGCAAATGTTTCGCCCATGATTTGAAAAAAAAAAAGAGCAATCAAGGAATCATTGCTTGCGATTCGAGCATCATCAAAACGAACAATAAACGGCAATAATGGAAACACTTTCGTTCCGAATAGCGAAAAACTCATTAACGGAAGTATCGTGTTTAATCCAAATTAGATTAATTCCAGTGAAATGTTAATTTGGCCGGTTTATCGAGTATTCTTAATCGTTGAGAATCATTCCATTAATCATTTATATCACAATTTATTATTATTATTATTATTTTATTAAAGAAAATATATCTGTACGATTTAACATTTACGAGTAATGAAATATATTATCGTTGCAATAATTTCTAAAAAAAAAATAATGAAGTTTCAATGAAAACTTATAGCGATGGAAAGAAATATATTTCATTCATTTGCTATGAAAAAATATATACATTTCAACAATCCATCGCGTATAATAACATATTTCGTTTGCAACGAAATAGAAAATATCGAATGCATTTCTTTTTTTATGGCGATAAAAATTCGTTTTCATTCGTTCGAAAATATAACTAGATTTATGAAAAGGAAGACGAAACATATTTTCTTTCCTGCATAATTGAAATATATTATTTTTTGTAAACGAAAAAAAAGTGCAACTGTGAAAGAATAATCGCACGTCGATCTATAATTAATCCTTTTTTATTAAGCTTTTCACACCAACAGTAAAGTTCAATTTTTGCGCGTATGCAATATCGTTTAACATCGTTACGTCTTTGGTGTGTTCGCGTTAATTATATCACGACATAAATTGCTGAAACTTTATCGAAAGCTGACACGGCAAATTAAGCGGGCCGTTTTATTAAAAATTATATAACAGTCAAACCACTACCAACTCTGTTTTTCTCTGTTGAACATTTTAATCTTTCGCTTCAAACATTGGCAAACCTGCGTGTGTTCGCACGAAATTTCATACGTCTTTCTTAATTAAGATTTTTTTTTTTAAAATAGATGATATCATCACAATATAATAATAAATATTCTAAAGAAGCGAAAGTTTTTCGTTATAGAATGAATTTAATTAAAATACATGTAAGATAAATATTTTATTAAAGTATCGTAATTAAATTTATTTTTTTCATAACAAAAACATTCTTCGTCTTCATAATATTTATTATATGATAATATTATTTATTTTCAAAAAATAAATCGAAATAAAAAAAATTGAAGTATCATATTATACTCTAATAAAATACTTTAGAAAAATATTTTATCTGTATTCTGTCTCATAATCCTCTTAACATTCATTTCATTTTATGTCTCTATTTTCCACCTATCAATGAATACTAATAACAATTCAATATAGAAATAATATCCTGATAAAAACATTATTATTTTACTATGGAAATAAAAATAAAGATACTGTTAAAAAAAAAAAACTTTTTCATCAAGAATTAATTACTTTGATAAAATCAATTCAACATTATGTTAAAAAAAGATATTTCAATTTTTAATTATAATATTAATTTCCTCTCGTTCTTCTCTTTCACACGTCTCTTTCCGCCACGTATACAGATATCTCTATGTAAATTTAAACTAGCGTAGAACCTTAATAAACTGGTTTACACAGAAAAGGGGACGAGTCAATTAACCAGGGATGTTAGAATCCGTGGGAAACACACGTTTGGTATTGAAACCGAAATCATGTACGGATTTAAGGGCGATTTAGCCAAGAGAATGCCGCAGAGTAACCGCGTAAAATGTAAATCGTATCAATACTTGTTCGAATGGATTTTCGAGTGGTATCAGGCCTCTCGAAGGAATTCTCGATGTAATCTAAACGAATTAACATCACGATCCGTTATACGATATCATCAGAAATGAAAATCTATCGTTAAAAGTAATATACCGTGGAAATCGAATTTTCAACTTTGTAATATTAAATTGATTGATAAAGTTTCATTATCAATGGATTATATTGTTTTATATAAAAATATATTTTGTAAAAAAAAAAAAGAAAAAATATGTAAAAATGAATGAAAAATTAAAATGAAAATTTATTGTATCATGTATCTATTATTGAAGATTTAAAAGTTCAACGCTCTGATCGTAATAAGTATGAAAATTTGATAAATGATTATTTGTGGCAACTTTTGTTTGCCAAATTTTATAATGTAAATCTAATTTTATAATGTAATCTAAAATTCTTTATATTTTATCAAAAATTAATTAATGTTTTATTATAACAAATACATGAATATGAAGATTTTGAAAAAAGAAATACAAATGTTGATTAAACTGAAATAATTGACATTACAATATTCATTGTATCTTTGTATGAATATCGTTAATCATAATGCTCTGGCAATCTGTTTTTTCAATAAATTATACGTTCCTTTTCTTCTTAATAATTAATTGTAAACAATATAATAATAAAATATCCGCGAAAAAAAAATTTGAGTAAATCACTATACGAGAATAATTTCAGCAAGTGAAACTTGATTAAAGAAATTCTATAAAGCAAAAATATATATCCATACAATATTTGATAGACAAAAAAAGATCTCGGTTTAAAAAAAAGTTTTTTTCGCGCAAGTCTTTCAAATTTTAATGTTAATTTCAAATCGTAGTGTAACCTATCGAAATTTCCATTTTCGAAGATTACTTCAAAATACATCCGCGATACCAAATATATACGATACATTGCGAAACATCTCGTGCATATTTAATCACCATGTCATCCCAAGAACTCGTTAACGTCTGAACGAACTTGTCATTTTGGTTTCCTCCGATAATTATATCAAAGTTTTAAACAAAGAATTGAAACATCTACATTCATTTACCAGCACTGGATGATTAACTTAATGCAAATGTTTCTTAATGCAAATGAAATTCCATTCGATTCGAAAATTCAATATTAAATCTTTGCTTTAAAATTGGATTTTAAAATCGTATCTTCTATTAATCATTTGATGGAATGGAAATATTAAAATAATTCAAATACAAACCAGTGGAAAAAACAAAAATATTAAAGAGTCGTTCGTACCTGTAAAATTAATTAATGCTGCAAAGAATTGTGAGTCACTTTGTCACGATAAAAAACGATATTAATGCGAGAAGTGAAGCTTTGCTCGGGAAAAATATACACTTTTTCGGATTACAAATCGGATGATAAAATTGTCAAGACAACGTACTCGCTTTATCTTATATTTAACGGCATCCGATCCATATTAATTCCGCCCGTTTTAAAGGCGGAAAACTCGAACCCCTCTTAAGGGTAATAAGTTATCCTTGATATCGCTGTTTCAAAGGGTTTAAACACCGGTTTATAGGTTGGGCGTAAAATGATTGGTATCGTATCGCGGATATCATTTATTCAATGTTATGATATATACGCGTGTCGACACTTGTTCAAACTGATTAAGGGCAAAGCATCGCGCAAAGACTCACCTGCGATCCACGATTTCACTCATGCAACAATTTCGACGCGATTTTTGGATGGGATTTGAACAGAAAAAAAGGTACTCACCTGTAACAGAAAACGAAAACATTAAATGTATTTGTGCACTTTTCATCGAATTTTTTTTTATTGAGAAAAGAATTCGAATCGAAGTGGAAATTGTTCGATTTAAATTCTATTCGTTCGCACGATTGATTAATTAAATTTGGAGGATTAATAATTAATGGACGTGTGTCACGATTTATTTAAAAATCTGAATAATCGAAACGTAAAAAATTTGAGATATTTTTAAAAATGCTCTTTGCTTAAAGAGAATACAGATTTGTATATAATTCGATGCTTTTTTGATAAAATATTGATTTTGTTGATTGAAAATCTCTCATTCTCGTTAGTACGAGATATCGGTTTCGTTTTGTTAAATTTATATTTAATTGTACAATATTAAAATTTCAAATTGATTTTAAAAATCGTATATTAAACGCTGACCGAAATGAAATATGCAAACAATAAGTTTTATCCAATTGACATCGACGATTTTATTTAAATTATAATCGTCAATATTGCGAATGTTAATTAAATATTTATAAATTCAGACTAAGATATATCTTGAAAGATGTTTCATTTGAAACTCGGCACACATTCAATTAATCAAATGTCAGAGCCATCTGTAACCTGTAGCCGGAAACGAATTAATTCCGCGAAAGGATTGGTATATGCAGTAATAATACAGCAATTAAAATTTTCAACTTGTTCATCAACTTTCCTACATGAAATCTCCTCACACGCATTAAACGAAATTAGAATAATTAATTCAAATTGCAAATCCCTTCGGATAAAACTAACTAGGAAAGTGGTTACGATGTTGTCCAATTTTATTTGCCTGACTAACAATGTAACAAGTAACATTAATATTTGATCGTATCGCGTTATGTTGTTTAACTTGATAAGAAAAATAAATTTCTAAATCGTTAATAAGATAGAGTTAATAGACGATAATGTATAAATGAATAAAATAAAATATTGTTATTTTTACACACGATAATTTATCTTTAAAATGAAGTTTAAAATTAACGAAAAGAATTTAACGTCTGTGTTATTACTTAAAATTGACTTGATATTTGAATGAAACGAAGTGAGGTGAACAAAATTTTGCTTGTAAATACGAACAGACGGGAAAGGTTGTTTTAATTATTCCATAGGTACTCATGAATAAATATGAGGTCTGGCTACGGCACTGGAAATGCGCATCCAAAGTATATAGCACGTATGGATGAGCGAAATAAAACGAAGAAATCATTTTTCTTTCGTAATTCTGGGAATTTTTAATTTTAATATCTTCAAATATCTTCAATAATTTCTAGTACGTACAAGATATTCGTATCGTATCAAGCAAATCACGATCCACTTTAAAAACACGAAGATCGAGCTTCTGAGAGCTTTTGAAAATAGAATTTCAAATTCTACCCTCTACGTTCTAGAACTTCGAATTTAAATTCACGTTGGATAAAGAGAGACAGGAATAATAAATGCAACGGCAGAGTAACGGAGATAGAGCGATCTCATTTCCATCTCTCTTCCTTTCACGCATACTTCGCTTGTATAATCGCTTGTAACTCGATAATAAATAAACCTTCAATTCTTCATAATTTTTGTATAACAAATTTTTAAAAATCGAAATGTACGAATATATTAACCTCTGTATATTTCTATTTCCCCTAAAATAACCATCACCAAGTAAAATCATAACATTGAAATCTCGAAAATATATTAAAAAAATCATCGAGATGGAAAATGATTTATATATATATCCTTTATATTCTCAGAAAAATTGTTCTATTACTACGTAAAAGAAACCAAACCGATTCATCCTTCTCCAATAATATCACGTCACGAACAATTCCAAGTTCGCAATAGATTTCACGTTGAACGTGTACGAAATAAGAAAATGATTTCCATGTTCACGTTGAATTTAATCGAGGATTCAAGTTTCCTTAACAGGATTGAATCCGTCTGGCCCTATCTATCCACCATCGAAACGAATCTCGAAGAAGGATCGTTCGTGGACACGGATCGGTTAAACAGCGAGGAATAGAGAGGGGGGAAGAGGAGGAGGAGGAGGAGAGAAGTATTGTAAACGCGAGAGTAAAGACGGTTGTCGTCTCGTCGTTTGCCTGGCGAGACGGATAAAAGGAAACGGTTTCCGGATATCTGGACCAGAAGCAATCGGCTCGATTCAACAGATATGAACATCGTCAAAGGCGAGGCGGAGGTCAGGGCGCGGCTCTTTAATTTCTTTTTCAAGAACAATCTCTTCTATAAATCGTTGCAAATTGAAAGGGAACTTTGTGTTTTAAGATCGGTCTTTTTTCTTTTTCTCGAAGAGTAAAAAAGACGAGGATGTTTCATTCCTTCCAAGGAATTCGATGGTACGCGAGTCGAGATGGTGTGTGTGTATCGCATGTGCCTTTGTTGAGGATGGATTTGAAATAATATTTGGGTAGAAAATAGTTCGATAATAGTGGATTATGGAAATGAATGTTTTTTCTCTTGTTTTATTAAATTTCACATTTTATAGTATCAAATTTTAAGCAAAGATGATAATGAGTATCGTGGAAATGATATTAAATATCGAGAAATTTAAATCATTTAAAATATATTAAACACGATTTTGGTGTCGATGGTTTCTTCGAATAATATTTAAATAATAAAAAATATTTGCAAATATTTTCACAAATCAAAAGTGATTGTCGCAAAGAGATAAAGGAGCCGTAATAATTCGTGCTCAAACTCAAGTCAATGAAATCTACGAGCATTAAACTCTGAATTCGATGAGGCTCTCGAATCGATCTGACAAATAATCCCGATCAAAAGCTTGATTCGCCTAACAGCCAGATCATTTATTATCATCGCTTCTTACGCTGCAAGTCGATCAGAGCCATGTTAACAAGAGCCTAGAGAATTATCCGTGCGAAGGAGTGGAAACCGAAGGCACGATCCGATCAGTTAATCCAAGATTGATTGTTTCCCTCTTGTCCATCCACTCTTATCCCTTTGAGCATCCTCGTCTCGATGAAACCACGAGCTCGATTACGTGGTATATATATATATATACAAGAGTATCACGATGACCCAATCGTTGTTATGAATGTGCTCGGCTGCGAAAACACGTGTCTTTCTCTCTCTTTCTCTTTCTCTCTCTCTCTCTCTCTCTCTCTCTCTCTCTGTGTGCTCTTCAAACATTGAAAGTGTAGCGTGGCAATTACGCGGACGGTGTTTCCATGGGCGATACTTAGATTGAAAATTGATTTTGAACGTGGTTGATGTGACAAGGTGGGTGTTGAGTTGATTAAGGTACTTGCGATTGAACAGGAAGAGATGAGGATGGATATCGAAGATATTTTGATATCGTGCTTGAATTTGATTTAGGGTTTGGGATATGAAATGTTCGATTGTTTGAGAATAAATAATAATGTTTTAATGTTTTAATTTTCTTTTTTCTTCTTTTTTAAGAAGCTTTATAGATTGAAAATAAATGGATATAGTATTTACTATTTCAATCTTTCTATAATATCTTTCTATAAACAAAATTATTTTCAGAATTTTATAAGATAGAAATAATTAAACTCGAAGAAAATTAAACTCCTTATTAACGCTAAAATCAAATGAAATTGTTAAACTCAACTATTTCATTTTTTGGCAATACTATTATTAACTTTTATTCAAAAATACGATTATCCATTAAATCTCGTGATACTGTTATAACAATCGTATAAGATAATCTATTCTATCGTTGAATAAGAGCACAATTTTTTCAGATAGTCTTAAAACATACGAAAAATTAAATTGTTAATCGATTATCGTGTACGATACGCGATCATAGTCCTGCGAATTGTGATTCGAATCTCGAATCTCAATGAATCTTTTCACACCGTTTGAATGCAGAAATAGCGTTTCGAACAATTGAGATTTATGGCCGTATCGGCAATAACCACGATCTTTCATCGACCGATAATAAAACGATACACGACGTTGCTCGTACACCAGGATATACCACTGTGCTCGACTTCTCTCGCCAAAAACTCTTGTAACCCGTATTTTCTCCCGGAAATACGTGTGAGAAAGTTGGCAAGGTGTTATAAACTTCGTCCTTGCCACCTGCGCACTTCTTATTCGATTCCCAGAGGAGGGTAAAAAAGAAAATCATCCGACGGGTATCGCACTTTTCCAAGAGATTCTCCAAAGTACTCGCCACTTCTTATCTCAAAATTTTTTTAGCTTTTTTTCTAAGATGATTTCTTTTTTTTTTTTTTTATGATAAATGTGATACGATAGATATATATAGTTTCGATTCTTATAGGAATTCTCGTTCTCTATTTCTTTGAACTTTTTCCTCAGATCAATCGTGATATGAATTTGCATTTTAAGAAAGTGGAAAATATATTCAGATGTTCACACAAAAGATTAAATACGAAGGAAATTAAATTTTAATAACACGAAGAATGTTATTTATAAACTTACGAATTAATATAAAAATTAAAGAATGATTTTCATGTTAATTCCTATGGATTTTGATGCTGAAAGGTAATTCCAGGCGAGAAATTTCGAAAGTGGAAAATTATTATCGTCTTAAGGATGCAGTAATGGCTAACGAGTTGAACAACCAAATATCAAGTTAGGAACTAATCACGATTCGGTTGGAGTTACTGAATCAATTATAGTTGGTTTCTGATCCGTTGTTAGTTAATCAAGAATTAGTAAGGCAACAGGAGGTCGAGGTGGTCGATCTTGAGTAAGGCAACACTCATCCAGCGCTTAAGATTAATCAACGTTGTTGATCAGTAGAAATTAAACTCGTGCATTGAAACTCTACTTTACGAGTTTATCCAGCTCGTAAAGTAGAAGTAATTATGCAGATTTTTACTTTCTCAATTTCTTACTTATGTTTTCGTTTCGAAGATAATCATCTTTAATTATTTTTTAATGATTTAAATCATTTTAAAAAATAGTAGTATGAGTTCCTAATAACTTTGCATTTCTTTATAAACTAGGCAATTGGGTCAGTTAAGAAAGAAAGAAGAAAATATTGAGAAATTAAAATATAATATCGTGTAATATTGAAACAATTTTGTATAATTTTATTACAAACTAGATAGTTAAAAAAATAAAAAATATCGAAACGAAGATAAATGTAGAATCAAATTAGTAAACAAGAAAATTGTAGAATCAATCAAATTTCAATATTGAAATTACACAATTGAGAATCAAAGTGGAGTAAATCGATAGAAAATGGAATTATGCTACAATTTCATAAATTAAAGCCAATATTGAAATCGAATAATGTAAAAAATCATCTGATTTCAAAATTCTTTTCTTAAATTAAATAATTAATTTCTAAATATTTTTCTATATCAAAATAAATGTAATTTATGCCACTACTTTTAACATCCTAATAATAAATTAAATAATAAACTAAAGAAAATAAACTAGATAAAATTATATATTAGAGAATCTATTGAAGAATTGTATTTATTTCGAAACAAAAAAAAAATTAAAAAAAAAAATTCGTCTTTTAACCTTTGATCCATAAAAGAAGAAACTTCGTTCGTTAACTTTATGTGTGTATACGTGCATTTTCCTTTTCCCCCTGAACATTTGTGAAACGAGTAAACTGAAAAAATTCCCTTTACGCGTAGAGGCGAACGAGAGACAACTAGACAAAAGTTAAAAGCTCGAACGCGGTTTCTGTGTTTCACGAGTGACACACAGGAAGAAGGAAAAATTACCAGCTACATGACCGTACAAAAGTATGCAAATTCTTGGGAACTGTTTTCAAAAACAGGTGGTTTCAAGGATTTCCTCCGGGATTTTTACCGAATTTCTTTCGAAAATTCGACCAATTTCAAGAATATCTCGTGTTATAAAACGATATTTTCATTTTACAAAAAGATTATATTAATAGGACGTTTCATCATTTGTTGATTGTACAACCGAGCAGAGGAGATAATTTTATGTGAAAAAATAACATTGAAAATCATTAAATCGTTTAATTTTTTTTTTTTTTTTTTTTTTTTTGAGAAAATTGAGATTGAATGTGCATGTATATATGTACAGTCAACAAATCGTCAAACGCAATATTTTTAAATTTAATTTTCTCGAAAACTAGGATTTAAAAACCTTTTAAAATTTTCTTTGTAACACTTTCTTTATTCTTGTTAAGAAAAATAAATTCAATCTGATTCTAATCTTAGTTACTTAATTAATAATTTTAATTAATAATTTTGTAGGAAGGAAATTTCGGACGTTAAAAGGAGAAATCTTAAATTGAAAATATTTAAAAGTTTTTAAAATAAAATAAAATATTTAATTTAAACGTATTCTAACATTTTACGGCAGTTTTTTAATTTTGTTAGATTAAAATACATCATCAAAAAATATTAAACAAATATTAAATAATTTTAATATCTCTATAGTCGAGAAAAATTATACGAAATTATTATTAAACGAAGAATTTATTAACTAGTAAAATATTACATAGTTTGCACATCTTAAAAAAAAAATCAGATTTACAATAAAAACAAGTACTCGTGAAATAACAAGAAATTATCATATTTTCAGATCAACATAAGCAATCGTAACTTCTAATACGTCAGTATGTTGAAATTTATAACAGGAAGTATATTCACTATGAAATGTTTGAAAGCGTATGCAGGATGTTAAAAACTATTTGCATACACGGCAAATGTGTACGTATCAGGAATATGTTTCGTGATAGTGGTTGCCTTGGAAGAAAGGGAGGAGAAAATTTCAGCCAGATCTCTAGAAACGCGAGATGTAAGAAGAAAAAGGAAATTTCGAAGGAAATGCGATTTCTCGTTCGGAGAAATAACATTACGGACTTATTCATGAATCGTATGCGATTGGAATTGAACGTCAAATCTTCAATTTTTTACTTAAGAAAGATTCTCGATGCGTGTTTCTCTTAAATTTCACTCCTTCATAGAGAATTTCATCGATTCACTTTGACGATAGAATTCGTTAAAGAATGTTAAATGAGAGAAAATGTATATCTTAAACGAGCATATATTTTTCAATTTTTAAGAAAATTTTACCGAAAATTTACTTAGAACTATTAGAATTGATCAATTGTAATTTAATCAGATTCGATTCGAAAAAATCTGTCTCTCTTATCTATAATAAATAAAAAGAGAAACATTTCACAATCCTATTATTCATTTTATTCAAAGTCTTCAAAATGGCTCCAAAAAAAGGGGGGAAAAAAAAGAAGAGAGGAGTATGTACATTCAAAGAATTCGCAAAATTAATCCCAAGATAATCTCTAAGCTGGAGAAACTGCAAGGTACGTTATATATTCACTATATACGATGGAAATTTCGTTTCTGAGGGGCAAATGCATTCGTCTCGGCTAATTCCTTGGAATAAAGCAGCTAGGAACGAGGCCTTTCTCGAAAGATAAGAAGCCTCGTCCAAAACAACAGCCACAATGATGAGCGAAAGAGAGAGAAAATACAGGCCACCTGCTGATTGAGCATCGTAGCAAAGGCATATGTATATATATATATAGAGAGAGAGAGAGAGAGAAAGAGAGAGAGATGGATGTAACATGAATATTTCAACCTCTGTAAGTGTCTTTCGCCATGACTGCAAAAGCTGTTTCAAGTTTAACAAGGCGTCTCTAGTTTCAGATCCTTCGCGCCTCCATTGTTCATGGTCGATAACATCGTTTTTTTAACTGGTATGTGAGCACCATCTCTTTGAATATATGTATTCATATTTTCATCATAACAACGATGAGTGGGATAAGATAAAAATAGAAGAAGAACAAAATTTCACATGCAAAGATGATATCGATCCATTAATCGCAGGGAATGATGGAAAAAGTATATCGAAGATGTGAAATTTTTACTTGTATTGTGAATATAATAATCCTACTTTCGTTATATTAACAAATAAACGTGCAGGAGATTTTTAAACTGAGCTAAATGATACTAGAAATTAAAGAGGATTTAACAAAAATTTGTTTCATGGAAACTAAATAGAATATTTTTTCAAAATATCCTATTAAGGAATATTTAAGAAAGATTTTTCCACGGAATCAAAGACACCAAAATATTTGTTCTATGAAGCAAAGATCAAGAATACCAAGAATTTTTCTATTTTTTCAAAAAAAAAAAAGAAACGAGGAAGAAATAAAATTCCGCAACTATTCCTTTAGAATTATCAACCTAATATAATTCCATGAATCATCATCCACCCCAAACATCTTTCGACTTCTTTAAGAATCCCGAAATTTCATAATCTCTTCAGAAACACTGTTACATCTATTTCCAAGCCAAACTTAGATCGTATTCCCACCATCACTATCTCCCAACTTACGAGATCTCGCTTCACGCTTCTAGGGCTGAACACCATTATCCGCCTGTGCTTCTTGATGAGTTTGCTGAGCCTCTGCGTTCTTTGGGCGCATGTCAAAGGTTTGTCGGACACGTGAAAGTCGTCCTGCATCTCGTCCTCGAGATCCTCCGGCTCGCTTTTCTCTCGAGGCGGGCTCTGCCTCGGGGTCACGGTGCTCAGAGGCACAACCCTCGCGATCAAACTTTCGCTTCTCACGCTCCACGTGGACGCCCCGTACTTCTTCATGTTCATCAGATCCCCTATGCTGCCCCTCACGTACAGATTCCCCGACTGAAGATTCGTTCTCGACAAGGCGGGCGAGTGTGGAAGGGACTCGGAGCATTTCTCCGTCGATCTGGCCACATCCGGTTTATTTTGGAGCTTGTCCAGATCCGACAACGAGGATCCACGACGTATTCTAGGCTTCAATAATTCGTTCTTCTTCGCCACCCGTTCTTTCTCTCGGTTCACGCTCCTCGAGGACAGGGAGGACTTCATCGCGAACAGACCCGCCTTCAGTGGGAAAAGGAGAGCCCATTCCGTTGACTTCTCTCGAGACTCCATTTTTTTTTTTATTTATCTTTTGCTTTCTCTTCTTCTCTTCTTTCTTTTATATATTATCGAAAAGTATCGACTTAAATTCTTAAATATCGATTATTCTTGATCTATCAAAAAAATGAGTCTCCTCTCTCCCCTTGATGTAAAAAAAGTTTCAACTTTTTTCAATTTTATATTCGATATATATATATATATATATATATATGTATAAAAATACGTAAAAATGTACGTATAACAACAATAGACGTATCAAATAGACGTGTAATAATAGGGGAAAAAAGAGCAGTGAGGATCGAATGGCACGCGATATTCACGCGATCATTTTCAGCACTGCTCCAACTCCTGATTGCCGGTAGGATATCATTAGCCAGGCGATATACCGGCATCCGGGCTTGCCGTTGAACCCCTTCCGGTCGTCCCGTTATCAAGCTTCGGAAGTTGGAATTTGTAGGACGCGTTCCGCATTCCGAGCAACCGATCGCTCGATAATTCTCCAACGAGAGCACGACTCCTTCGAGCGTTCGACGAGCAACACTTGGCGAGCACACTTTGATAATTTCCAATAACAGTTCGCGACCACGAACAATCCGAATGAACGATATCGAAGAAAAATGTTATCTCTTTCTTCCATTCTTCTTCCACCACACTGTCGCTGATTATTATCAACAAACAATTTTTTCAAGAGTTTATCAAGTTTCGCAACGGTAATAAAAATCGTGGAGCGGAGGCGTGGATGGGAGCATCTTGTTCCTAAGAGCACCGCGATCAGACTCCCCGACAGATCGTGCAGGGAATTAAGGCGAAGGGGGTGGTCAGCCCCTGATCGGACCTCTTGGCGATATTTTCACTTAAGTTAACACGACCCCCCGTGCGGATGTCCCCTTTGCCATCGCCGATACTTCCTTTCTAATAAAAGCCTAATAACGATCGATAACTCGTCATTCGACGAGCTCTCTTCCTCTCCCGTCGTCGTCGTCGTTGTCGTCGTCGATTCCCTCGGATTCCCTTTCCCACTGTTGCTCGGCAAAATAAGAAAAATCTTCTCCAATTTTTTCCACTCCAACGATTCAGGCGAGGATGACGATCGGTCCTGCCTGATCATCGTACCGTCGACTAATACGAAAAGGATACGAAGTTGGTTGACGAGTGGCTACGAGTGATAACGATATACAGTGGGAGAGGAAGACCTTGAGGAGGAAGGTGATATCGTTAATTTTTTAACGCATACGGGCTTCCGATTGCGGTTAGGCCGACTGGCCTACATAGATTGCGAGGTTGGAAAGAGAACGAGTTTTTAGAGGGAGGAGGAGGGAACGTGCCGTGCCTTCGAATGTGGATTTGCATAGTTTTATTTTGTTTTGAGTCGGAAATTTTTTTTTAGATCCGCTTCTGTTCTAATTATTGTTTTCGAAGAAGAAAGATTAATTGAATTGTTAGATGCAAGTTAAAGTTGGAAGCAGTAGACTGTTTAATACTTATTTTTTTAAATTTCTTGATTGTATTTTTTAAACGGTTATATCCTCATCACTAATAATTTTTTGATACTTTATTGTATTATGTAAAAAATTTAGTTTGAATTAATTTTTCAAATTGAAAAAGTTTATATCTATATATAAATATCCAGTTAAATATTAATACAAAAAGAGAAAAAATAAATATTATAAATAAAACTTTTTCAACTATCGATCATAAAAACCAAACTTATTGATTACTTAAGGTATAAGAGATCTGTATTATTGTATGCCAGTCGAATTCGTCAAAATGGAAATGATCGAGTATAAAAAGATATTTGCATTATTCAACGATTCAAAGATAATAGTCACAAATGGACGTTTGTAAGCTCTTGTAAATCGTTCGAATCAACGCTCACAGCTCAACAAGAAACTCTGTTCAAGTTAAAGCTTTCAGGATAAATGGCATCCTAGTTCCTCTCTTAAAGAAGAAATAAAGAGAAAAGAGAAAGGGGCCATGCATCATCTTCTATGCGAAAATCCAGAAAATTCCGGCTCGAGAAATCTCTTAACTCGATGCAAACGACGAGACTTTAAAGAATATTTAGTGAAATTATTATTTGGAGAAAAACTACAATGTAAGAAATTATTAAATTGAATTATTATCGCGGTTAAATTTATCGAGTTTACTTTTTCCGACGATGAAATCTTAATGATTACATGCTGATATATTAATTTTTTAATTAAACTCTTCGAAATTATTTTGAAATATAAAAACAAAAGTAACTCCTTCGTTCGATTGAAACATTATATACAAAATTCAAAGTTTAATGAACACTAACAATTAATTATCCAACGATTTTCTTTAATAAAGAAATATTTATCTCTCATCTCACCCTTCCCCCTCCCTTCAAAAAAATCACGACAATCAAATTTATCAAATCTACAAGCACAAGATCCAAAGATAACACGATAAGAGAATCCTATAGAATTTAAATTACGTTCAGCTGCAATTTGATCATAGACAAGTCCTGGCGAAAATATCTAAAACGAGTTCGAGAAACGAGCAAAAACTAGTCAAGTCTCCAACTTCGATTCGCGTGTCACCAGGACGAATTTACATTTTCCATCGTGGAGGCCAGCTACTCTTCGTATATCTGGACTGGAAAGGTTTCCAGGAGCGCGTCAGGTGCGTACTTAGAATGACACGATTGGGCGACAAGGCTGCGTTAATGGAAGTTTCGTGTTAGAGTTGGTTAATCCGCTGCTTCCAAAGAGCAACGGATATTTTCAAGGTGACAAGGAGGCCGATAAAACGCACCCTACACTCCTTTCCACGCAATGGGATTTGATTTACAAAACACTTATTTCTTTCTTTCATTTTCTTCTTCTTCGTTTTCTCGTTCTTTTTTGTTCTTTTTCTTTTCTTCTCTTTTTTTTTCTAGAGACTCGTTAATTAATCGTATCGAATTGTCTACTTGAAATTTTTTTCTCCTATTCAGAATGATGATTACGCTCCTTTGTGCACTCTCTATGTGTGTGAGTATTTGCGTCGACTTAATCTCGTATTTCTTCCCGAAGGTTCTCGATAAAACGTTAATGAACATTCATTGTTCGTTTATAACTGGCATAGATAACTATATCCATTGCGATATCACGTGTTATTCGTAATTTATGCGTCCCTGTGCTTTCTAGGACGTGCGTAATTTTCTCTGATTATCTGTGTTCGCGGATGACGAAGTTTTTTTTTTTTCTTTCTTATTACACGAGTTTGATATAATGAATGTATTCGAGATTTAAATTTATATTATTATTCAAATTATTGATTTTGTATGAATTTTCAATTCGTTAAAATTACTGATAATTAAACAACATTTTTTAATATGTTGTATCATCTCTTTTTTAAGTAATTAGATTTTCTAAAATTGTTTGCATATTTCAATTCCAAAAAAAGTCTATCAAAAATTTTTCATTGTAAATCACATATTGTGATTTCAAATTCATTTATTCACAACTACGATTAACGAGTCTACTTTATATCGTGAACTTATGTCGACAAGGATCAACGGACTCGTGGCAACCTTCCAATGGGACACGACGTGAGTTACACAGGTGATAAAGTACGGAACTCGTGGATGGAATCTCGAGAGGGTCGATAATACGTGACAAATTAATTCAATCGTGAAACTAATGATCGACAAGGCCGTCGTTGTAACAGTGAAGGTCTAGTGGAAAAATGCGGGTCGCCAGCATGATTTTACGGAAGGTCGCCATTAAGGTCGATTGCCTCGATGAAATGGAAAGTCATTTTCATTTCATTTTCATTCGAGATCTCTGTGTCTATTTCTGTAGCAACTTTATCGTTTCGATATACGTTCATTGAACTTTTCGAATTGTTCGTATTTTTTTTAAATATTAATTGAACTTTAAAATTATTTTTAAAGTACTTACTATTAAAGAAAAATATGATTTATTATAATTACTCACCCGTAGTTGCATCACTATTTGGTTATACGCCCAATGCCATCGTTGCTTTGCCGTCATCTCTGGTCTTTCTTTCAACTGTGTAGGCACTGGTGCAGCTCCAACCATCTCTAGAAGCTCCTTATCCGGTGGTGGTTCTGGTGGACTTCTCGGTGGAGTATCCATTTGAACACTTTCTTCTAAAGACGCTTGTTTCGTTATGCTTCCTGTAAGCCGACAAGTAAAAATATTAATATACATCATTAATTTGAGTAAAGAAGATTGTAATTATGCACATTGGATGAAAAGAATAAAAAAAATAATCTTACCGCGTGGACTATCGGTATGCGACATCGGCGGTGTAGCTTTGTACGTGTCCATCAACGAATCCTCCCGAGAATCACGAAGCATTGGTTCATCGTCGTACCTTCAATAACGAACAATTAATACGCGTAGATATATAATTTTTTCGAATAAAATTATATCAATATAATTACCTTTCAAGAGACTCCTCCCTCATCTTGTAGTCGTCGTTCACCGCATTGCTCAGGCTAACTTCCGGTTCCTCCACAGACTTTTGGTCATTGAAGTATCCACGCTGATAACTCTCAGCTCTGGAAATAGGTTGAGGAGCACTGAAGTTCTGCCCGTAGCTACCTCTGTTTTGGTACGAGTCTGTTCTGGTGAGAGGTGGTTTAAAGTTTTCTTGTATAGTTGAAGAGAAAGAGTCTTTTCTCGTTGACTGCGCGTACGAACTTCTTCTGCTGTACGATTCCTCGGGGAAGTGGTCGGAGGCGTAAGAATCACCTCTGGTTAATTTTGGTTTTTGAGAATGCACGCTATGCTGGGAAGAATGTTGACTCTGATACGATAACTGCGAGTCTTTTCTCTGCGGTTCTTTTGGTATGATTTCCGGATATTCTTCGTCCTCGATCACTTCCTCCTGATACGACTCAGTTCTCGTCAATCGTTTTCCATTACCCGTTGTGTGAACCATTGCCGTCACCGTCATACTCGTTGGAATATGATTGGCTGTTACGTGATTAACCATCGTTGTAGCGGGTTGAAGGCTGCTTTGGGGAGATTCGATCAAAGTAGGAGCAACGGAACTGGAGTCAGCAGGTGTCGGATAATCGCTGATTCCTTTCTTCTGTGGAATGCTACTAATAGAACTCACGGCAGTTTCGATTTCCTTCAATTCGTCGTCTTTGGATTCCAAGGAATCGGTATTTTGTTGGACGAGAGGGCTAGGTTCACGTTTCTCGTGCTTCTTCTTTCTCGAGGACACGTCTTGACTTTCCTGAGACATTAGGTAATAGTCCGATTCGCTCGATTGATATCCATTCGTTCTCGTCTGACCTCTTGGCGTGGTCACCGATAATTCCGGAACTTCGCTTGCTCTTCTCTCAGTACTGGCAGCTGGACTCTCTTTGTAGTGTTCCTCGAACGATTCCTGATAAGATTCGTGATAAGAATCTTCGTAAGGCTCTTGATAGTGATCTTGATAATCATTCTCGTACGTCATGTTAACAGTCTCCTCTTTGCTATACGGTGTTTGATAATTAACGTAATCCTTCTGGGGTTTGTTATAAGTATCCTCGTAATTACTTTGCGAAATGGGCACTACCTGATTGTACGTATCTTGCTGGTTGTAGGTTTCTTCTTGCTGATGGTACGTTTCTTGATTATACGTATCCTGAATATACGTGTCCTGATTGTAAGTTTCTTGGCTATAGGCTTTTGTGTTGTACGTTTCTTGATTATAGGTATCCGGATATGTCTTCTGGTAATCAGTCGACGTGTTTATATTGTACTGAGAATCGTATTGCTCTTGTTGGTATTGATTGTACGTATTTGTCACGTTATTTTGGTCGTATACGCTCGACGGCACGTTGTAACCATCGTATTGCTCTTGATACGTATTCTTATAGGTAGATACTTTCTTCCTGTCCTGATATTGAACGTTGTTCTGATCATAACCACCCATCACCTGGTAATTGTCGTCTATTATCATATCCCTGCTCATTTTCCTGTATTGATCGTTCGGTTGGCTAGTGTATTGATCATTCGGTTGGCTCGCGTTCGGATATGTTATATCTTGATACGTATCCTGATAAACCTGAGTGTTCTGTTCCACGTAAGGCTTTTGAAACTCGTCCTTATACGAGTTTTGTAAATACGATTGATCGTACGTATCCTGTGTCTGTGGCTCTTGATACGAACGATCATACTGGTCATCGACCTGGGGCGTGTAACTGGACCCGTATTGACTATCCTCAGCGTATTGAGTTTTGCCAGGTGCGTGCACTTGGTCGTAACCACTTTTCTCGCTATATATACTGTCAATATAGGTATCCTGAGGTAAATTATCTTGGCTGCGATAAGCGTAATTATAGTCCTCGTTGTAGTCAGACTTGTGATAGCTCTCCTCGGAAGGAGTTCTAGTCTTTGGCAGTTGCCTGCTCGATGTGGCAAGCATACGATTGATAATAACATTGCTTGGTTTTGTTGGTGTCGGAGGTAGTTTTTTACCCGTCCCTTCTTGCCTGGACGGTGGTCGTTGTTGTGGTTGAAGCGGTTTTCGACGACGAGCGCTATAACCACTGTAATCGATTCAAGGATACATAAATTAAATAATTATTTTAGCAATTTTATCGATAATATAATTGGAAATGAATATAATCGATTAATACCTATAATTGAGTTCCTCCGATTCGTAACTACGTTGTCTGGTAACCGTTGGTCTGTAATCGGGTCGATGAATACCGATACTAGATGCAGGCCTCTGTGGAAGCGTTTTTCTATTCCGTTTATTCTCATAATAGGTACTAGTTCCTAGATACCACTTCCCTCCACTGTCCCATTGTCTATCCTCGTCGTCTTGGCCGTACCTGTTCAAATAAACAAATTGATATATATATCATATCCTACCTAATTTTTTAAATTTGAAAAAGAAAAATCAGTCTATTATTTCTTTTTCTCATATATCTAATACTACTTTTTATCGCGAACAATAAAGATTGAAACGAATAGCCTAACAATATACATAATACTCACCTTTCATCTTGATAACCGTATCCCGTGATGCTATCGTAGTACTCATTGTACCTAATGTCCGTTTGGCATTCAGGATACGTGGCGCTCATTTTCCCTACTCTTCCATCACTACTATATCCATCGGTATAGTAAGAATGGTCGTCGTATAAAGTCATTTGTCTTTCCAAAGATGGTCTTCTGTGATGTCCTGTGTGTTCACGTGCGGAAATAAACCGAGTTACGATCTCTTTTACTATTATTCAAGGAACTTATACATCTTATATATATATATACATGTATCAAATGTACGTATTAAATCTTCATGAACCGGAAGCAGTAACATATCCATTGTTGGCCAAAAAGTAACAAAGTACAGTAGCGACATCTTACCTCTTCGTCTGGAAGCACTCGTTGTACTACTCGGATAATATTCGGTATCGCTATAGATTTTGGTTTCGTCGACTCTCGTTCCATGATAGTCGTAATCTTCGCTATACCAACCGTCTTGACTGAAATCACGAGACAAAAATGAAATAAAATTACGTAACAATCAGACAAAAAGAGATAAAGCGGAGATGAAATGACCCGCGTTTAATGACCACGTTCGCTCGAAGCATGATATATATATGCTTGGTTAAAGGATATTTCCAATAATTCCCTCGTATAGTTTCTCCTCATGCAACTACCTGTGGATGCTCAATGCATTCTCTTTAACTCGTTAAATATCAAACTACCGTATACATCTTAATCTACATAAATTCTCATTGATTTGTTCGAATCCTGTAAAATTCTGTCCTATTAAATTCTCTATTCTCTTATTTTTACTTTTTTTACTTTTGAAACACACGTGAACATATCCTTTAGACTCATCTCGAAACGAGCTTAAGCAATTTTTAATTTGATCAACAGATACAATAGTGAGTGTTGGAATGAAATGATTGTATAAATGATTTAATAAAATATTCCGACAAAATAAATGTTTTGTAAATATGATCTATCTTGAATTTTATATATGCGTATTTATATGTGTGTGTGTGTATGTATGTCTAAATGGTGCAACGTTTTTATGGAAGCTATTTTTCAACGGTGCTCCAACAAGAACAGTGTGACACGTTTAATGAAAAATATGCTAGATGGAACAATGTGTAATCTACAATTCAAAAATGCGATGAATATCGTATTTAACTTTCTCACGAAACAGAGCTGGGATACTTGTTTCGTACCTGTCCTCGTAATCCCACGTATGCTTCCGTCGTCTAAATCAGGCAGAACAAAAAACAATAAACGTTTTTTTTTTTCTTGTTCTCTTCAAGTATCACGCGATTCATGATCAGAGTTGTATAAATTGCCTTTGAGTGCAATCTTATGGAGTTCATCGAAGAAAAAAATAGCAAGAAGATAATTGAGGAGCTATCTGAAAAATCGGCTAATAAAAAATGAATCGAATAAGTTGCATCTTTTAATATCATAATTGTAATGTGAAATGGACACAATGCAATAATAATTGTAATAAAAATTCACTGTAAAAGGTGGACATTAATTAAAAATAGATTTACATAAATTATTTTAGTTTCTTTTTTTATTTAAAGCTTTAACATTTGATTTTTTCTGATCTTAAAATCTTCTTTTTCAACAAGATTTTAAGATCATCTTCAGCTTTTTTGTACGTAATCTTATGAATCTTTTCCCAAAAAAATATGTCAAATGATTCACCTTGTACATTAAATATATCAACTAAAAATAACTATCAACTAAAAATAATTAAAAAACAATGACTTTATTACACCTTTTCTTCAAAAAGCTCTTCAATTTAAAGAAAATAATCGATAACATTAAAATATGTCCTGTTTTGTATCGATCACAATTAACTCGAATAAATTTATTAAATCTCAACAACGAAAGATGGGGGAAAAAGAAAGAGCGAGGAAGGAGAATGGAAACACAAATAGGGACGAAAAAAAAAACTATCGATTATACCAGTTTACTTCGAACTGGCTCGAAAAAGAAACCTTATTTCCAGCTACATGACACTCTAAATCGATCCCGTGTGCGTATCGCGTCTCAAAGCTCGACTAAATGTCAAATACCTGTATTCCTTATAATGCCTGGGCCGGCTGTTGTAGAAGAGTGGCTCAGAAGATTCGGAAGCGTGCTGAGACTGTGAATACCTTTGAGGTGGGCATTCTTCGGGATACGGTTCGTCGTATCGTGGACTGTGACCTGATCCACTGTAGCCCGCGTAATTAATTATAGATAGCCTTCCTCCGACTGTGGCTGGAATCTGGAAACAATCGATAAAATACTTGAGCCACGGTTTCTCTTCCTCCTATCCAGAAACTGTATAACCGATTTAACCTTTAGAGCTGAACTTAAACGACTTCAACTTCCCTCTTAAGAAATTTATCTTGCGAGCTATATTTATCCTGATGTGAGAAATAGATTTCCGATTTCTCTGCTCTCTGTCCAAGTATGAAGAAAACCAGTAATTCGAATGATAAATTCATTACGAATAAACTTTCATTTTAGGGAAGCTTATACCTTTCATTGTTCATTCAGAGAGGGAGAGAGAGAGAGAAAATTGGTATCTTAGTTCCATTTTGAAACTAATGTTGATCTAATTTATTCGAATATTAGAAATAAACGAATGTAAAGTGATCGTTTATTTATTAAATAATCAATATACGAGGCAAATATCTTTCGCGTATTAAATTTAAAACGGATATCTAACAAAGTAACAACGCTTCAATTCGTCGGTTCAAATATTTACGCGCAAGAAACTGTTGAATATTTGATAAATCTAAACCAATATCGGATAATATTAAATACGATTAATCGTTTAATAAACGATTCAATAACGATTTAATCAACACTAACACAATACTTTTCCTCCCCTCCCCTCCCCGCTCTCCAGTTTAATCGAAATCGATATCGATATTAATTTAATATTTGAAAGAAAATATTGATAAAATTTCAATGTTAAAAGTTCGATTCCCAAGGGGGGGAGAGGAGGCCGTGATTCCAAAAGTGAACAATTAAATAACGAATCAAGATAACAAAATATCGATCGTACCTGATGATCATCCCTCTCGTAGCTATTTTCTCTCGAGGTCTCAAGGGATCTCTGAGGGGTGGCCAATTGGTTGGCAGCGGTACGAAACTGCGAAGCCGAGCTGTTTGCACCTTGTCCGCCAACTGGATAATTCAGGTCTGACGTATAGTCGGAATCCTCCGAGTAACCGGCTGAAAGGCAATTCAAATTTAACGTTACCAACGTTCAATGCATAGTGAAGACCGCTGTTTCTTTTTCTTTTTCTTTTTTTTTTTGTGTGTGAAACAATCGTCGGGCTTGTGTAAAGTTCGAAAGTAGAAAAAAAAAAAAAAAATCTCAATGCATAATAAAACACAAGTTCGCTAATTGTCGTGCGATTCAACAATCACCTTTTGTCACAAAATACTAAAAAATCGTAAGCACGTTCGAAAGCGGTTGAAAAATAAATTGCTTTTTGGTCGAAATAAAAAGAGGAGGAAGGAGGGGAAAAAAAGAAACAAAGAAAAAAAAATCAAATATATAGCTGCGTGTGTACGCGTGTGTAACGATGCAGAGATAAATTTGCTTTGGAATAAAATATATCGTGAGATCCTTCCCCCTATAATCGCGAGATCATCTCGAATAAGAGAGAGATTATCCGGGGGACGAACCACCCGATGAGTTTTCCCTTCTATTTTTCTGTCCCCAGGGCAGAAGAGAAGATATATACATATATATATATAAAACGGCGATATAATACGAAATAATACGTGGTTGGAAATTTGGGAAGGTGGAAAAGGATAATCGCGAATAATATGTTGGCTTGTAAAAAGAGGGGGAGGAAAAAAAAAAAAGGCGCGATATCGCGTTAATTCCGAATCTCGCTCGCTCGTTTCGAAAGTACTTGATTTCACATTGGAATTGGTCGATATTGGACGAATCCGATAATTGAAATGGTGCAACAACGGGGAAACAGAAACAATTAATGCCCATGCGATTTTGACATCGTTTGGATATCGAGATAATTGACGTGTCATTCAGGAAGAAGAAGAACAGTATATAGAATATTATTCGTCCAGGGAGGTTTACAACAAACGAGGAGAGAAACTAAAGAAAAAAAACGAGAGAGATAAAGAAAGAAGTGGGCAAGTATCGATCAAATTTCGGTGCGTAAAAAATTAAAAAAAAAAGAAAAAAGAGGGGGAGGAAAAAATAAATAAATGAACAATAATAAAATGCATCGTTGAAAATTTTATCATGCCATGGCGATCATATATATATATGTGTGTGTGTGTATGTATAGGGGTATAAGTGGTATTTTTTTTTCAACGGGGATCGAATTTTTAGAGATAAGTTACCGACGATTCTCGATGGTCGATAACCAACAATAGGAATGGATTTTCGTATACCGTGATTGCCGATAGAAAATATTCACTCCGAAAACTCCGTGGATAACACAATTGCAATTGCATAATAAAATACCCTTATATATAGTCGGTGATCACGGATGGAAAAAGAAAAAAAAGAAAAAAAAAAAAGAAGAAATGAATCTAGCATGATGGAATCGATTTTCGAGACGAGAACTGTCGACAGCGTAGCGCACCGAGCTTTTTATTGCGGTATTCGAGAATAGCATACGAGCGAATTTAACCTGAAATTCGAAAATAAAAATATATCTGCGAAGGAATTGTGATGAATGATATTCGGTTAAGCGACAGATATATTTGCAAAAATGTGAAATTAACACAAAACGTATATTCGTAAGTATATTATACGCGTGTGAAATGTGTATTCGATATTTGAAACAATGAATATATACGCGATGAATGTGAATTTGATTGTATAACGTCTTTATTTGACAAAACCGAAAAAAACAAATACGCGTTTATTAACTCGAATAAAAACTGACACAATGCGTTGGATTTTAACAAACAGTAAATAACAAACTGGAAATATCTCTGAAAATTTGTTTAAATTTATAACGCAAATTACGTTCCATTAAACAAATTCACGATTCTACAGCATTATTTCATTCCTATTTGTCCTTCATTTTTCCAATTTAATATACTTTTATAATACATATTTTATCGGCAAAAAAAATATAAATTGAAATTTTTAATTCCAATGGTTTACAATCAAATAACAAAAAATAAATAAATTTTTATGTTATAAAAAAAAAAGTGAAGATCTATCTCCTTGTTACAACACTCGCGATATATGACAACTGAATAATAACATATATAAGTTGACAAAATAAACGATGAAACGATTTAAAAATAATTTATCGATAAAGTATACTTAACCGCATCCAAAGCAAAATGTCAGTCATAATACGAAAAAAATCGGGATCGATAAACGGGAAATCATAAATATTCCAACGTATATCCGCCTATATAGATCTATAATTCATGGAAACATAGAATAATAATGACAATTTAATCACCGAAACGATTCGATCTCATCGCGAACGAGAAGCATTCCGCGTGTAATCGGCATCGATGATGGTACAGGCATTGAAAAGTAAAATGAAATTTTAGCGCGAGGGTGACGCCGCATGGATGGATTTTTCTTTTTTCTTTTCTTTTTTTTTTTTTTTTTAGCGCTAACAATTGATCGGGAACGCCCCTCTCGTGTTGCGATAGAGAGGAGTTATTTCGAATAAAACAGCAGCCACTTAAACAGTGACTTGGCGAGTACTTACAGTGGCCTATATTGTACAATATCTGTCGTCGTGCCTGTTCGGCTCGTGCTTCCTGGTCCATCATGTTGTTCAGCATTTCCAGCTTCCTCTGCAGATCGGCCGCCTCCGTGTTCTCGGGGTCTTTCGAAAAGATAGACATCGGTGGGGAAATGGTTAATCGCGGTTAATGTGTCTCGACTGTGTCTCGACTGTGTCTCTACTGTCTCTAATCTGCATCGATTATTTTCTTTTTTTCTTTTCTTTTCTTTTCTTTTCTTTTCTTTTCTTATTATATACGTACACAGATACTCGAATGAGAGAGGAAAGATTCTCTCGATCCCCTCCTTGTCTACTTATTCTCGAGATGCGATTCTACGATTTCTACGAAAGGGCTTAAACAACAAGCACGAGGAATCGAGTATTCTGATACTATTGTGTTCGATAATATACGACGTTTTGAAACGAAACACGCGTTACCCTCCCTCTTCGTTCTTTATGCATCAGATTTTTTCTCTTAATGGGCAGCGTACACGTTGCTTGAGAGTTGAGTTTATCGAAATTATAGCGAACGTCATTAATCATCAAGTCTAATGGCAATATCAATTAGACTTGACAAGATGATAAAATTGCGTGAAATTATAATAGATTAGATATGATATGATTAAATGCACGTATGTAAAATATACTGAATTTTTTTTTGACGAATTTTACGTAGATTTATGGTAAACTGTTCGATATTTATCGAATACGCTTATAATATATTGATAGTTTTTAAGTTTTTAAGTTTTTAAGTGTACGTTTTTTACTAAATTTATAAGCGAAAGTATTCCTTAAATCTTTTATGGAAATCATTTGGAATGAATGGATTTGAAAATTGGATAGATTCGTATGATTTTATAATAATTATAATATATACACGCGTGTAAAATGGTATTTAGATTTATGGTAGATTATATTGATCAATTATATCGAATTCACCGGTATTATATATTTGATTATATTATGGAATGTATAATGTATAAAATATGTATAAAATATATGAATGTATAAAATAATTCTGGTAATTTGTATTAAACGAATATTTATTAACGATTCATTATTAGATCAAATCCCTCAACATGATTATTTCAAATAATAATTCATAAATTACTCGTTGTATGTTTACTATAAAGTTGCATGCAGGAGTACGCAGAAAGATATAATTTGATTATATCTTAATTTTTTTGCAAGTGGACATATAATAGACATATTAAGGTCAATTTAATTTCCTTTGAGTGGGATCATATAAGTGGAATTACATTCCTTATATAGAAGAACAGAATAAACTCATTTTCCAGGAAAAACTATTAAGAGATAAACTTTTATTTTAAATATTGTAAAAAGAAAAATTTCACAAAACGGAAGATCAAAGTAATCGTTACTTAATCGTTCATTTTACCCGACTGATAGAACAACTTCAACTTGAAATCCAATCAATTTTTCATAATTCATCTATAAATTCATCTATATATCTCATCTTAATAATTCATCTATAAATTCACAAACAATTTTTTTCATCTATTCTGAAATACACACGCGATATCAATCCATTACAGCAAATATATTCGAATTATCATCATTATATTTGCTCTCTTAATACAAACTCTTAATATAAACTTAATACAAATACGATTCCGATACGAATCATCTTCAATTCTTCCTACGCGATAATCGTAAAAACCTAATTAATTCGTACCTCGTTCGATATCAATAATTTTTACTTAAACTGTTAACAAAATTAACACAACATAACTACATCTTTCCTTACAAATTGTCGATACGTTTATACACACTTATACATAATATACCATATAATCTTACTAACACGTTTTTACAATTAAAAAAGAAAAAAAAAGCGATTACAACACATAGTCGTAACCAAGCAACCATAGACAGCATCGGTCCAACTTATCCGAAACCGTAATTACATGCCGTACAGGGATCCCAAGCCGCGCAAATTGACCTGCGGTCTTGCTCGCTTCGACGGCTTATTAATATCACAGCCGGGCTAAGTATAGCTGGCATCGGCCCCCAGAGATTTTCTGAATCCGAACGCGAGATAACGGGCGATCGTCGATTCGACTTAAGGGCTTAGAAACGATTTATCATCGTAATCGGATGATTGACTCGTGGACCTGCCCCAACCGCCCACCACCCCGTTACGATTCTCTGCGCCCGCATCAGTGAGCCCCCTTCCCTCCCTTCCTTCCTCGGTTCGAGACGAGGAGGGATGCTGCACACAGGGGCGAAAGCAAAATTAACCAAGTTGAACGTAAACACGGATGAAAAGTACGTGCGCGTTCGTCAAAGTTTTGGACGGATCGGAAGTTTAAGGGTGGAGGTTTTGCTTTATCCGCGCTCGCGATTCCTCGGTGAACTGGAAACAGGATCGTCGTGTGGAAGTTGGATAGATCGATTCGGTGGCGTAGGGATCTCCATGGGGATGAATTTAATACGCGATAAGGGGAGAAGGAATTCGTGAGGCGTAAGTACTTTCTCGTGTCCTCCTTCGACGATTTTAGATTAGAATTGAAGGCTGGACTTGGATCGAGATACTATCAAAACTACAAATATTTTAAAGAAACGTTTTAATGTATATCATCCATATCGTGAAATGAATTTTGTTGATTTGTGTTACGTTTTTGGATAACTTTTTTTCAGTTATGGTTTCTTTTTTTGTTTTTAATTAAATTTCTTAAATTCGAGAGCGATGTAAGGAATTTTTGTTTCAATTTTACGTATGAAAATGTTTAAAAAGAAGAAGACCGTATAAGGGTCAAAGTTCTATTTAATTAATCAAAGAGGAAGAGATTTATATTGTAGGAGGAGATAAAAGTGTAAAGATACAATTTATTTTATGGCACCTTCAACCTTTTTTTTACGTTCGTTTCTCCAATTAAATTGGATTATAATTTAATATTCGATTAGACGAAATTGATTTTTGTATTTGGGGAGAATTATGTTTTGAGAAATTTATACGATCTTTTTATACATCGTGTAATAAAACAAATGATCCGCTCGCGCGATAAATATTTTACGTACATTCATAAATCTTTTATTAAGTTTTTCTTTTATTATCGTTGAAGCTAGATTCATATTTGATATAACGCGTACAATTATGATCGCTTTATTACTTAATTTTATCAAATACTATATTCTCGTATTTGTTCCTTGCTTTGCCTTCGTTTTACAATACATCTACATTAATTAATATACTATTAATATATTCTACGTTTACTGCAAATATTTATTTATCATATCTTAACATTTAGTATATATATATATATATATATATATATATATATATATATCCGTTACTTGATCGAATTATTAATAAGAATAACATTTGGAAATTGAGGGTGTAGCTCGATAATGAAATATATATACGATAATAGTATTCTATAAATGTTAAATAACTGCTAACGATGAGATTAAATATAAATGAGAAATAAATATTTCACTTTTCTCCCTCGTGCTTTCGTTGAATAATAAAATAACGCAACCTGGTTTCCATATCATGAAACTTTAAACGATACTATTAAGGATTTCGATTTCGATTGCTTTTCTACCTGACCCAATTTCTTTTTTCCCTTATTGTTAATAGGGTACGAGCCAATGTACCTAAGAAAATGGCGTGTGCAAGATTTATTCGTCCCATCTAACCTCCCACTGGCAATTTGACAGCAATTTATCGATCGATGATAACTTGATTTCCAAGAGAAAAAGAAAAAAAAACCGCGATAGAATCGTAAACAACAAGTAGAAAATTCATACGCGACAGCAAGATGGTCAAAAAAAAAAAAGAAAAAAAAGAATGATTAATTCCATGGGAAAAATATGTTGTTATCCGCGTAGAATGACACACGCGAAAAATATATTAGAATTGAGAAAGTAATTTTAGATCGTGATATGTTTGATGATGAAGTTAAAAATCATAAGTTAATTAGAGTAAATTCGATAACAGACTACTTGGTAAGATTGAACTTTCTTCTTGAAAATATACAAATACGCCGTATACACGTGTGTCGTGACACGAAATATGTCCCAGTCACACGAATATTACTTTTATTGTTGGCACTCCGGCTCGTATCTCACTCCGGCAAAATCGATAAAACGCTCATTCAAGAAACTTAGCGTTCCGCAAACCTAGATGCGAGATAATGATGAAATCGTGAAAAATGCACGTTCCGTATGTAAGCATAAAATTTCAAAGAGATCGAATATCACGATTAGATCGACTTCCATAAACTCTTCCTCCCATCGAGCAAAATATAGAAACCTTCTCTTCTTTTTTTTTCCAATCTTTCTACAAACAACCGGCATGTAATCATTTGCACGCGGTCAAAATAATCAATCTTTCCTCGAATTCACTGGATAATCCTACTTTGACAATCACTGCACTTTTCCTCTTCTTAATTTCCCTCGATTCGTTCAATTACGGCGCTAGCGTAAATTTTGTTGCATTTTTCTTAACGTTATCGCGTCATCCTGAATTTTTTTGAATTCTTCTTGCATAAGAATAAAAATAAGAGAGGGACAACGTTTAATTCTCCACTTCGCTTCTTTAACTCGATAACTCGAATAACGGTAAACTAACTGGATATGTATATACATATCTTATCTTCTCCCGAATCCAGGATTATTCCATCTCACAATGTTATGTACAATTTTCTTTCTGGAACAATGCTTCCTTTTCCCAACCTTTCCTTTCCGTTATCCGGAATTAAAATCCCGGAAACAAATTTTGCGGAACAAGCGTTCGAACAATGGACTCCCCAAAACGAAACGTCAAGCCTAACCCACCCACCCCTCCTTTACGAGACTCACTCACGATTAATGCGTTCCAATTATTATCAAGCGGGAAATAATAGGGAGAGATTATCCTCGAAAACACGATTAAGCAAACGTAACTGTTAATGAAAACGTTAAAAGACGAAGAATCGTGGAAATCACTTCTCGAATCGAAACGAGAATCGTCTTCTAATCCCCTTCCCCCGTATAAAAATCTCTCGTAATAATATCACAGAAGAAGTGTAATACCCCCGGCACGAGCCATTAAAGTCGGATTTCAGGGAAGAACAAAAAAAAAAAAGATGAAGAAG